TCTTACAAATGGATAAATCTTGATCAAAAGATCTTTATATAAGTAAAAAACATACAACTATGATGATGGTCAAAGTAACAAAAAAAAAAGCCACAAACAGACCTAAAGAGGTGATAATGTGCTAGCACAAAGTGCAACATTCATGGGATTACAAAGTGTTTAATTTGAAACTTGAATAAGCGGAAGCTATTTATTCATGGATCTAAAATGTAAAGAAAAAAACTTATGTGTATGAAACTCGGATGTATGAAATTGATCATCTTATAAACTTGAGCTATATTATTTAGTAGATTACTTCAGCTATTGAAGGCCTCGTAATTTTATACCATAGAAACTCAGCCTAAGTTTGATACACTTTTATCCATAAGATTGTTGGATCAACTTAAATGTCATATTTTTAAAATTTGAACAATCTCAACAGGTTTTTTTTGTTAGAATAGAATGCAATTTGATTTTTTCCTCTATCAAGACAATATAAAATAATCTGATTTACTTTCAAAAGTTGAAAACAAGTCTTATATTGTACATCTTCTTGCTTTCTTGATCATGGCTTGTCATGATTATATCATTTGACCGTTATGGTCTTTTTTATTTGGCCAAAATATCGTCAAAACACACATAATATTCTTGTAATACCTCATGATTGGATACATGTATCGGAAGAGAGTTAAATCTATATTATAAACTATATAATCATTGTTCAAAATTCATGTCAGTTTGTGTGTACGTAGACACATGTAGATAAAGTAACGATTAATACTTTTTAAGCCTGGAGAGGTTGAGGCTATTGAAGCTGATTGTCAAGTAAAAGGAAACCAGTCCGGATATATAACTTAAGTAACCACTCAAAAGAAAAGATAAAGTTGTAAATTATTTTTTGCTTCAATCGTGGTATGCATTATTAATATGCCATTGTGGTACCTCGATCTTCCAAATATATTTTGGTTGATGGTGATCATTCAGAGGACGATGGCAGCCAGCAAAGGTTTAAACCACATGAGACATAAACATCTTCAGATCATGTGGATCATTATAACTTCATTCCCTCTTGGCAACATCAGAATCTTGACCAATTCACTTGCAGGCTTAGTGAATCATTAGAACCGTCTAAGAATCCAACATAGATCACGATTCACGATCAAATATGTTGCAATAAAGTTTGTGCATGGCGTAACGTTCTCGCAGTCACAAAGTGAAAGCGGACTCCATGAGTGGAACTCATAAATGTGTCGCCCCTCTCTCTGCTCACTGATTTTCCCCGTTCCCCTTTTGGACTCGTTGCCATTTTGTCGCACTCGAAGCTTTACAAAAAAGTTTCTTCCGGATTTGGAGCTGCCCACGAAATTGAACCATCTTTCACGTAGATTTGAGATAGCATTTCCCCAAAATGAAGGCAGCGCTTTGGTCACAAATGTACGTCTGATTCTCAATCTGTAAGTGAAAATGGCTTGGTTTATGTTATATTGTGTGTATCGGCACTGCAAATAATCGTCATCCTATCTGAACCGTGAAGCTTGTTGACTTGAAGAAAGTCAAAGTCTAGTGACATTATCTGTGCTCAAGTACAAGGGGTCAGGGTTCTAGCACTCTATGGCTAGCTCCTTCTGCATCTAGAAGCTCGTTTGCGCTTTGTCGCTGAGTTAGTTGGGATGGTGGTTGGAATTTATGAGCACATGATAACGAACTGCAACCACAACATACGATGAAAATGAGCACCTCATGAAGCATTGCGGGCAAATGATCTGCGAATGACCGGCTCAGCCTCCCATCACCTTTGCAATTTGATGTAGTCGCTGATGCACCATTCTCTGCACTTAATCTGGAAGTTGCCTACCGCCCCCACTAGGCTCACCGCTGTTTCTACAAACCGACTGTGCTGAGCTTAGCAACCAGGAAATTGACAGGAGATCGGCAATCATTAAGTACACAGGCAAGTCATAAATCCTCGTTGAAATGTGTCGATCTGCACAGTAAATGAACAACTGAGGTTGTAAACGACCCATAAGTCAAAATCCATCAAGGAGCATCATGTGAGCAAACGGTTTTGCAGTTAGGAACTTACAGGTTATAGATTGTGGGCCCTTGCTTATTCCAGGAAGACGACAAGTGGGTCATAATTACGCTGGCTATTTATTTTTACTGAACTTATTGGAGAGAGTCAACGCTTCCCTTAGGCCAAGTACAGTTCAGTACAATACTGTACAATGGTGTCCGTGAATCAGCTTTACAGTAGTCAAGCTAATCAGGAAATCAAACGATCGGTATCGGAACTCGGTACAGAATCCTGTCGATAGCTGTTCGTAAAAGAGACCATGAGTGAAGCTTCTTCATACTCTAGAAAAAAAGGAGGGGACCATGAGAGAAACATGATTTCTAGTCTGCAATATGTGGAAGCTTCCAGTGAAGATGCTCATGAGATAAGCCATGGTAAGCGATGTGCTGCGGTACTGGAGCTGAGAGCACTTCAGCACATGCACGCTGCTGAAACAAGAGCGTGGAACATTCTTGCTTGTTAAAGCGGACCATGATGAGTTGACGAGTTTTACCCCTCCTACGGCAGTGAATGACTTCTGCACTGCTGGTCCATGGCGTGACAAGGCTATAAATACTTTGAAAGAATGTACTTCCTGAAAGATCGGAGTTTCACTGCTCATGCAAACCCTCTTTACCATTCACAGGCTGGAGCTTTCGGCCACGTTGTTGAAGATCAGCAATTTGGCAGGTCGACTAAAGTGATTGTCCGAAGACAAGAGTCTCCATCTTGACGGTGGGAAAAAAGCAGGGAATATGAGAATGACTACCCACATCTTGGCGGTTGGGACAAAGACTGGCCCCAGACCGGCCCTACACTTTCGGCATTTCTAAGATTAAGAGCACCGAGTAGTATAGCGAAAAGGACGGGAAGACCTACGAGAACCATAGAAAATGACGCAGCTTGGTGAGCCAGGAATTGCTGGTGGGTCTATGAATATGACTGGATAAAGAGTATTCGTAGCAACCGTGAAGAAACGACGGAGCTAACTCTTAGAAGAGACGATCAAAAAATGGTGAGCACTAGAAGATACGTTTTCCACGTCAGTTTTCCAATCACTTAATGTCCTGCAACAAAGATCCATCCCATTTAAGGAAAAGGAAAAAAAAACGTTTGCTGTTCCAAAAGACAAGCGTCATCCAATCTTTCTGTAAGAGAAGAAGAATCACTCGACATGGAACTACACCCGTAATACGAGCTCTTAGTGTCCATGATGGCTAAGGAAGGGACTGCTGAAAGGAGGCAACAACAGAAGCAAAGCTGGTTGTGCCCAAATCTCAAGAAGAGACAGAATAACCAGACTGGCAAAGAAATGGTATGCGGCCCAACCCTCTGCCGGGGAGAGAACTCTCGATAAGGCACCCCCGCTGGCACTCGACTGTCTTATCTGGCTTGTCAACAACGCCAGCGACTTTTGGTCCACATCGAGTCAAAATGGTCTTCACTCGCAGAGTACCCGCCATGTTTAAATTCCTGCTCCCGGGCCCCTGGGCGGTAAAATCTGGGATCTCGGAGTTTCTGATCTTGGGTCCCACACAATGCGAGGACTCCATTCTCGACAGTTGTGAAGTGCACTGTCACCCATTACCAAAACTCGTGAAAAAAGGGCAGAACTCCCTGCCCTTCAACATTCATGGAGTGCACATCTTTCAGACCGGACGAGCCAGACCTAAGTGAGATGTGCAGTGCAGGAGCCAGGTTAACATAAGACCGGTCTTAACTGCCGTTACACGACTAAACAACTTACCAACTTCTATTATGCACGATGAGACCGAGTGTCATAAGGATGAGTGATACCTGCAACCCCCAAACATTTACGGCGTGCAGACAATGAAGAAGCAATCTAGCGCCCACTGTTTTTCAGACAGGCAAAAATTGAAGAGATTACAACATCCACGCTCCTTAACAGCCAGGATTTCACGGTGTCGCACTTAGAACCCTTAGAACGGTGGAACATTAACAAATGTTAGCAGAGGGCAGCTCCCGATGCAGTCGGTGACAATGTCAATCAGTCAAGGTAAATCACGCAGGCCTAGATGACGCAATCGGGCTGAAGGTCAGCTTGCATAATACTGCCAACAGTGTGTTGTTAAAACGAGGTCAGACTACCGTGAGAGAATGATGAGCACCAGGATCGTTACGGACGCCTAACGTGTCTGGCAGTGTGTCAGTTGGACGCCATTAAGACACCAAGTACAAAAGACGTGAGTCAAACTGTCATGTATCGAGCTTTTGTTGTTAGCGATGGTTTCGGGGATCAGAATTTGGACGTTGTTCGGTAGTGAGAGGAACATGAGGATGCAGACTCAAGGAGCAGAAACTATGTAAAAACACGAGACGTGGAAAAATAGTCACAGGTTCCTTGATGTGGATGAAAGTGAAGAAAAACCTTCTGGATGCAACAGTATGGCGTTGCACGTACCGCGTAGTGGTGACGGACGTTCACTGCACTGTTGGAGTAACTCATCGCCGAAGTCTAGGCAATTGCCTTCCTTACCAGAACGAAACGGCCACACGTACTGGTACCCAAAGAAGGCTGCATGATGACATATTGTTCCAGTTTGCACGTAGATTCGTTCGGATTCGGCGTTCGTGCCAAGAAAAGAATGTCCTTGACCTTCTTGCATTACACGAGAAGGGGACTAAACAACTCCTTGCTGTTTACTGCTTCGTATGCAACGAAATCTCACCATACGGGCCTCCATTCGTCTGAGACTTCAGGGCTGCAGTTACGTTATGAAGAAGGTGATCTTCAAACAGGGTGGCCAAGACGGAACGAAGATATCAAGTCTGAAATTGTATTATGTTCATATGTGATCTCCGCGTCTTACTTATTGGAGTTGGTTTACAGCCACGTTTGAGTTACACGCAACTCTACCTCTCTTCGCCATGCAGCTGAGATGTCTAAAATATTGCATTCAAACAATTGACAAGGGAGACAATAGACAGCCGTTGGGGCAGCCGAACTGCACAAGTCTCAGACCCTGCATACTGGAGAATTGGGGCCTATCAAAAGTATTTTACTTCGTTGACAGAATCCCATTTATAGGCTTCAAAAAATTGTAGTGCCAGTCAAAATGTCAAACTGAAGCATGTCACCCAGGCCGCATCAGGGTATCTTTCAAGCAAATACTTGCAGCTCCAAAGAGTCATATTTTCTTTGCCAGTGAAGACTGCCCTAAAACCTTCCTCTATCATACAGCATGCTGGCAAGAGTGACAAGCAGATTTCGAGTTCTCAAAAGTCCGACAACTACGCCAGTGTCAAACGGGGGGAATTGACTCACCTAATGATCCGACCAAACAGGGCAACAGCAGTCAAGGCCTACTCTAACCTCCTATTTGTTTGACATTTATATACAATACATCAAGTGCGTTGATGCTTACTTCAGAATACGATGGCGTGGACATATCAGATATATGATAGCCATAGGAAACGGACTATTTACGTCCTCCTCGCTTTTGCTTTGACTTGTGATGTGGCTGTTTTGTTGTAGCGCTCTGATCTTTAGCCTTGGTAGAGGCTTGCTGGCCCACTTTACTGTTATCATCTGCCTCAACCTCGTCATCTACTTCAGCGTCTTCTGTTTCCTCTTCCTGGTCCCAGTCGTAATGCACTGGTTTCTTATTTACACGTTCCTGGTCCTGTGCCTTGTGAGAAGCTTGAACAACTGCACCATCTTCCTCCTCATCTTCCTCTTCCTCGCCATCATCGACGTCGTCATCATCTTCGTCATCACTTTCTTCATCGTCAGAACCTTCTATATCAAGATGGTTTATATTTCTGACGAGTGGTGGTAAATCATCATCTGAACCGCTACCAGCATAACGCTCATCTGCGACCAGTTCAACGACAACAAATTAAATTGCGAGCTTTTGCAATAGTGTATTAAGTCTCTTCACACCACAGACCATGGGCGCAGATATCTTTGCATCATCCAGCCAAAGGCTCCAGAGTGTGAAACCAAAGGCTCAAGCGCTTTTCCGAAATAAATCAGACCAAGAATGTCATGAGTCCATCCTCTTATTTCCATTCGGTGCTTTGACTCGACTTTAAATAAAGTAAGTACCGACTTCTTCTGGAAAAATTGAAAATTCCAACAAGACAGGGCGAACGGGACGAAAATCCTTTAAGAATACCTGGTGCATCAGACCTTCCCCCCTTGTTACTAGCGAGGAACTCGTCTTGCACCTCTATTACTTCGTCTGCAGTTTTGCAGGCTGCATAAGCGTCCAGTAATTCTCTGTTGAAACATAAACATCGACAGAAACTCTTAAATTCATGTGCAATATAATATAATGATTGGTAATCTGAAATACAACACTTGTGAAAAAGGGATTCTAGACATTACAGCATGTTGAAGAACGTCTCAACGACACCTGATCTTTACTTATGAGAGAACTTTCACAACTGGTATAACTCAGTAGAGAAACTTCAAGCGGCTTGGACACAGTTAGCAGCCTTCAATACTATTTACATTTGAAAACCTTCGGCAAGACGATTAGACCAGAGGACACTGATATATGCTCGAACATTTGTTCAGATGGTAAAAAGGTAGATAGTACACACTTGTTGAGAGACAAGAAGCCATGACCCCACTTGAACTTGCCCAGCAATGCTTCAGCTGTTAGTTGCTCCCCGCTGCAAACAACTCAGGCAAATTATGTACGCGTATTCAACAAATCTACTGGTTGCCAAACAGACCTAACTAGTAAGGTGAACATCCGTACACAAAGAGGCCTTCACAAATCATTCCGGACTTCCACAAGGCGATATGAAGTGATCTATACCGACTAGCAACGACTTCAAAGACTTTCAAAACGATAGTAGAGTGCCGAGGAGAGACGTTGCTAAGATCAGGGCAGTTAGAAGTGAAAAGAGAGCTCAGAAGAAATACTAGAAAATTTAGCGTTTCTTAATCTTCGACGATCTTTTTGTCTCCTGGCGGAAGTTTACGTTATGAACCTCCAAAATGATGATAGGAGCATCCAATGAAAATAATTATCCATTGCCTCGAAAGTCCCAGTAAGGAAGCGCAATAAACAATTAGGTACACGCAAGTCGAGTGCCACCACATCTTCAGACAGGGGACCTATCTCAAAAATACCTAAAAGAAACGAAATTGTAGCAGGATAGGAGTTAAAAGTGTTTGACTTCTATCCTGTGAATTAGATTGTCTCAAACTTCTACTCACGCGGGAGGACTCCAGGAGTAGACCTTATGACTAGTAGTCACACACACTTGTTACGAACAAAATGATGCAGTTCTGAACACGTCTACGAAGCTGTTTATATTACACTCCTACTAATTACTGTGGTTACCAGAATTTGCTTACGGAGACCTCGGGAAGGGACCGTATGGAACTTTAGGAAGTTCGAATACTGCTTGCGCGGAATGGAAATTTCCAAAGTTGACAGCCTACCTACCTACGGAGATCAAAGTGTTCGATCCCAAGTGTTCCTGTTACACTTAAGACCGAGGTAAAACTTCAATGCAAGTGATAAGGTCATGAACAGCTAGAAGTTGTGAAGGCCAGGTACAAGTCATAATACTTGAACCACTTATTGAGTATGCAAGCTCACTGCGAGCTGAAATATCTTCTAGCGTGGGTCATCTCACTAAACCCCTTGTCCAGTCAGTGCGGTGCAGCATTACACTACAAGCACATTCTCCGCTGAGCAAAACTACGCTGTCTTTTAGACACACAGTCTTTCCTGTTGAAAACGAAATGATGTTCAGCCACTTCAACTCATCAGGACGGTGATAGGTTAAAGTCGTTGAACACTCGCCAAACTTTGAAGATCTAGTAGTTACGTACGTTACGTACTTAACCGTACGTACGTACGGTTCAGGTTAAAGGAGACATTTCATGTTCAGCGTGGAGAAACCTAAAGTAGGCGTAAGGTAAACGAATAGCCTTCAAACAAGAGCTCTACACATCCTACCTGATTGTCCTCGGTTGTATTTTAACTACTCTGACCACTCTTCCTCAACGAAGATCGACAACGAAGTCAAGGAACAAGATTTCGTGACTCCCCGCCAGTAGTCTACCAAAGTCTGCGAAGCTCGATTGCGTACTAATGTGAGATCAATCTCCTCTTTCAGTACCGTGATGCTCAGCGTTGTTAAGGATGTCAACCTCAGAGACGTGGCATCTAACTGTTTAGAATCCTTCTAGGAAGTTCTTATATACAGGGTACAGGGTAAAGGTATATTCTAGAGTAAGGAGGACGATCGAAAAGTAGTAATGCTATTTTCACTATTAAAAAAAAATTGTAAAGTTAGGAGAATTCACCGTTCTTAGAATACAATATAGTAGGTGTAATCAAAACACTGAGAAACATTCGTAAACAGGGTGCGGAGATACACTCTACTAAGGAACACGTCCTTCTGTTGAATTCTCGTTGAGTTTTAGAACAAGAATGCTAGTATTAAAAGCAGAAGGTAAAAGAAAAGTAGGCATCACTATAAAGAATCAAAACCGGCCAATTTAACGCGGAACTTAGACGGTTAACACCTACAACAGGTCAATTATAGGTAACTGATCCTTTGATTCTTTGAGGTTTAGAGATCCTTTCATGACGATAATTGCAAATCCGCTTACAAAGGCTGGAAAACAACTAAAAGGCAGGATCAGATGAGCCCATAGACTGATAATCATATGCAACATGGACTTTGATGTGCCGATAAGATGTGTCTAGTCCGTGGACAAGAGCAATAACAGGTATGCTTAGATACCTGGATCACAGAAACTCACCATATGTAAAGTGCTGCCACTAAAGCCTCTACACATGATAGCTTGCAGGGACGACCGTAGTTAACAGGATTTGCAGCCACCAACCAAGGTACTGCAGACACCAAGATAAAGTAAGAGGGTACATATCAGAGCTGTGCATTAAGAAACAACCGACTCGCAGGCTACTGAATACATGAAACCACGCAAAAAATGATATCGCCCGTCAACTTGGACAATTTTTAACGACTCAATTGTGAATCGTCATAATCTGCTCGAGAGAGAACTGGCACTTACAAAGCCGAGGTGCCCCACAGCGTAGCGCGGCAAATGGCACACTTGGAAGGCGACTCCAAGAACAATCAACGACTGCCAGGCCTTTCACTCTCATTAGATTTCGGTCTTCCCTGGAAACACATTTTGTACCAACAGGGCTGCACATTTCCAACACATTAAAGTCAGGAACTTTGGGTGAAAAAAAAGAAAAAATATACGCTTAACACTGACTAAACTTGAAATTAGCCTTCATTCGTTTGATCCCTATTTTGAGAAAATGATCCGTCTTTTCTTTGACAGGGAAAGAAGAGTAAACGGCCCAAGTTGAAAAGAACGGAAAGAACACACAAAGTGACTCTTAAACACTTGTCACACGCTTGCCACAACACCAATAATACTCTAGGAAGGTACTTATATCTGTAAACATGAGATAATTCTTTCATAGCCTCAAGACCATAGATCATCCCCCGGATAACGACCAAAAGTCTGTAAGTAGTAACAGACTGGGAAGAAAGTTATGACGATTAAGTAAGATGAGATACTCCATAGACCTTGATAAAGTAGGAAGAAGTGGAGAAAACTAGTGGCGGAACACGAACCTGAGAACAACTCCACCGAAATGCTGGTGAACCCGCAAATCCTGTGAAAGCAAAAGATGGTCAGCAAACTATGCTGGAGATTGACACGTTAGCAGTGAGTCTTACCACGGAATATAGATCCTTGCAACATAAATTGCATAGTTCCGGCTACGTACATAGAATCACCATTTCCAAACTATGACCCAAGCACGTCTTGATATGGATTTTGAAGAATGCAACATGTATATCAGCAACTTGCAGGGAAAACTGCTCTGATGATGACTACAACACTGTATATCAGGCATATATGAGTGCCTTGGCATTTGCCACTCTCATAATTGGTACTGAAAAGTAAAACTAACCCGTAAGAAGCCCAGGCGAGAGAGTTTGCGCCCAGTGCAGCGTTTGGAATCACATTGCCCAAAGTCCTACGCCACAGACCAACTCTGTCAATACGGAAGTTTGGTACTGTAGCGAACATAGAGTGGCAACACAATCCTTGCATTACCAGCTATATAATGTCAGAGTTCACCATTTAAAAGATTTCACTTTCAGGTATAAGCATCTAACATTGATCACAAGATTAACCAAAATGGAGGTGCTTGATCCAATCCATCTTTCATAAACCTTGAGCCATTCTACGGAATTTCAACACATGCTGAGCTCACAGAATGCCTGTAAGAACAGAAGTTACTAGTGGAGACTTGGACTGCAAACCAATGCAGATGATTAACCTTCAAGAATTTTACTCAAAAACCTTACCCACATCGCCAGATGGATTGGTAGCTTCACTTTCACATTGCCATTGGCGTCTTCTTCAGGCACTTCTACCGGCAGACTTTCGTTAGATGCCAAAGCGTCCCTGCAGATGGACCACAGAACTTACCTGGTCAAAACCAAGAGCGTCTTCTTGACCATAATCAAGAACACAGAGCCTTCCGCGCTTTTCAAGGCTCAAAATATTGAAAAAAAGACCTGCCCGAGAATCATTACTGCTCAACCCTCTTCACTGATTCACAGAATGAACCACAAACATGGCAAACAAAGCTCGAAAAGAGGCTAACATACAAGCAGAACCATATCTACTACGTGGAGTGCGCCTTACTGAGAAGAGAGTGGACCATTACATTGCTCGAGAACAGCTAATATCAAGGCATAATTTTCAATTCACTCTCGATCAATGAAATTCTGACAAAGGACATTCGAGCGCCTACCAATCAGCATCCGCCCGATGTGAAGGAGCAGGTCCGCCCTTGCGGTGTCTACCACGCCCCATCGCTCTCCAATCTCACGCCGAAAACCGACTGCAACCTCGCCCCACTCAAGCTCAACCTCGACCTCAACCTGCGCGTCAGCAACGTAAAATGCTCGAAAAACTTCAGATCCTCCAAGAAAAGCCTCCTTTCGTCAGTCTCCTCGATGCACGCGCTCCGAAACCGGATAAGCTCGAGCTTCTTCGAACCGAAACGCGATGAACTTGCTCAGCATTTCAGATTGGCCCAAATGCACGTGACTCGAATCTCACCCGCCCAGGGCTCCGTCTCCTCTCGCGGATCTACACGGCTCGACACTACGGTCAATAAATGTGTCCAATGTGTCCGCTCGGTGCATCTTTCGCCTTCGCCAGGACCTGCGAATTGCGGTAACACAGTGGTCACGAAGCTCACGATCCGCCAGATCTGGCGTGCTCTTATCCGAGCCCCGAATTCTGGAAACGCCAGGAGGGCTTCAGATTTCAGTGTCCATGTTTTCGTCGCGTGACAAGTCTGAGGTCTGCTACGTGTCGGCCACGTAGTTGAGGATCGACACCGTGCTCTCCTAAAACCCTGAACCCTAAGGCCGGCACAGCTGTGTTGCTCCGTAAAACCCCAAATATTAGGTATGAAGAATGGGAAAATGAAAATCCCAGGTTTAGTTCCTGTAATGTCGAGTTCAGGATATCGTTTGATCAAGATTCGTAGACTTCTATAGGGAATTACTCATTCCAGGATTGTGATTAGAGGACTTTGTTAATCACGACCTATCCCCACACATAACTCGCCAAGTATGTGCTACATGTGGATTACATTCCTAGAGTATACTGACGTGGCATTTTGAATATTGCTTTATGATCTTAACACTTACTTCACCTACAATCATATCACGCTTGACACTCTTATCAAAGTGTGTCAAGATAAGAGTGTCGTGTGTATTTTCACCATTCATTGACACCGTCACACGATGTATTTTCATTCTCATGGTGGGAGACTTGGTATGAAATCATGCATACCTTTGAATGTGTTGGAAAAAGTATCTATACTATCAATGGAGAAGACATCGTGAACATCTATCTAGTCTTACATCTGAAGGGCAACCCCACTGAAGAGAGAGACAAAAGTATTGTACAATTTTTTTGTGCAGCTCTATAAGGTTGTTGCGAGACTCCTTCACAATGGGATGTCTGTAGCTACTTGGACATTCTCAACAAGATTTTTGTATTTTCAAACTTAAAAAATAAATAAAATTCATCCTTGGGATATAAGCAAGGAAATGGATGGGAGGCATTTATTTTCTTTACATATTTGAATTGAGAAACACGTTGCTTCTTGCTCCAGGAATTTCAACTTGAGGCACAATTTGCTAACTATTGAATTAAAGTCATATCAACTATCTTCATGGCAGAATAATTTTTGAATTGTCTACCTTATAGCTCTAATATTATCAAAATTGGTGTTTTTGACTCACACACAATCCATCATATCTACGTCAATCTTCTAGATTTTATCATATTACTTGTGATTGTGATATGACCTTAGCTGCAACATAAATGACAAAATATCAATCTTTTTGGAAGATCATAGCTATATATGTTATTATTATAAATGAGGTATTGTTATTATGATGTCTTACTTGAAAAAAAGCGATGATATGCCTTGCAAAAAGCTCATATCATATCAAATTAGTAATCAACTTGAGTACATTCATACTATAGACGTTGTGACTACACATGCTACATGTAAAAGTAGTTTGAAGTATATAATTTTTTTTTCAAGTATGGGTTGCAAGTGGTTTCAAATCAGTCAAAATCTACAAAAATTGATGAAAAAATACTGTTTTATTATTATTATTATATAACCATACAAAAATTGCAAAAATATCAGTTTTATACAAAAGCTGTGAACAAATTGTCAAATAACACAAAGCACTATATATTCAACGAAGCTATAATGGTAGATCACAACATTCAAATGTTTGTATGTTGTGTACATAAACAATATACATATATTGCATATTTTGAATATAGGACAACTTTTAAATCATTGAGATGCTATTGAAATCCAAATTTATCTCATTCATTTGATTTGATTAATTTCTGGCTTGATGAAAAATCTAATTAAAAATATTATTAAATCAATAAAAATAATTTAAAAATAAATTTTAATTATAGAGTTTTTAAAAATATTAAAATTTAAAATTCATATGAATAAGAGATACTTATGTGTATACAGGTTTTTCAGAAATTAAAACATAATCCATTTGAAATCCGGATTTCAATTGGATTATGTTTTAAATTCAAACTTTAAGGACTTACGTAGCTTATACTTCGTAATTCATGTTTTTTTAATTCGGACAACATAGCTTCTTGATAACTCATCCATTGTTGTAAATCGGAAAGAAGAGCTTCTCTTCTCGCATCAAAAAAAGCTTTTATAGTTTCACCAAATGTTTTTTTGACTAAATATAACAAAACACACAAAACTTAAAGCTACAATAACTTCATTATATATTAAGATTTTTTTTGAACTTAAACGCTAAAGCTTAAAATTGCAAATATTAATATTTCACGCATTTGTATTTTTTTATTATTTTTTCAAAGCAGTAAGGAAGTAGCCTTGCTCTCGATCGTACTGTTTTATCCCGGATATTATATATTTTTTTAAAATAAATAATTTTTAATTAAATTAAGTAAAAAAGACTAAGTTACATTTTAATATTGAAATCTAGCTAGTTTAACCTTTGTTAATTAGTAACATGATAGTATTATTATCCAAGAGAGTTGAAGGTAGCTCTTAATGATAAAATTGATGTTTTAATAAAGCAATATTGTGTTCTCAAAGACATAAATCTTACAAGATGAACCGCGTGTTTTTTAAGTGATCATTTTTATTTGTTAATTTTCTCATTTTTCTGTATTTTGGTTTCACGTAACAAATGATAACAAATTTTTACATTTATTTAAGTAACATATGAAACTCTAAATAATATGTATAATATTTACTAACAAATTAGTCAAGATACACAGTATATTAAACACTATTTATATTTTTTTCAAAGTGATTACATTTGAGAGAGTTTTGAAATATGATAACACATTGCAAGTAAAATGTTGCCTATAGATACCAAAATATAAGACTAATAACTAATTTATCTCTGTATGTGATTTTATTCTATAACACTTTTAACAGTTATTTAGTTATAAAAATTTACCCCTTGATTCATGTTTCAGGTTTTTTGTAATATTCATAAAATATATGATTACTAAAATGAAATTTAACATAGACCCCATAAACAAATATTAACTCTAGATTGTTATGAATTAATTCAAGTCTTTTGTTAACTCTGTTTAGTTTATGATGTGTTAATAACCACATTAGACTAGCATTATAGATAGGAGTAGTTAGCACTTTCTTCAAGTGATATCGTATTTTTCTGGATGTAGCTTTAACAAGGTTAATCATGTATTTTTTTGGATTGATTGTGTGTTGTGGATTATTTTTTTCCATTCTCCGTTCCTTCTAATATAATGCTTTTGGATATCGTTATATAACATTTAAAAATATTTCTTCACTTCGTTTTGATTTCTTTGTGCTTATTCAAAAAATTAAAATAATTTTATAAGATTACTAACATATAGAATGAACATTATTATGAGCCTTGACAAATCTGAAATATATTCATGCATTTTTTATGGAATTAGCATCTTGATGATTAGGAAATAATGAAGTGGTTTAAATCTAGGTCAAGTTAGTTATGAAAAAATATTGATACATTCACATTACATAATTTTTTCTATATGGAAAATATTTTTTCATTTTAAAGTATCAGAAAAAAATTAAACAATCATTGTAAAACAGATAAATATCCTGTAATCATAATCTTAGAAATAAAATTTATTTTCTTTTCTTTTCTCAAGCTTTTCATGATTATTACAGGAATCTGTAAAAGTTTGTGCATCATTTATCTAGTATATTTCAAAATAAAATTTGGTCGAAAATAAATATTCATGCTATTAATGATAATATAATTGATATTTTCATTGACCATAAAATTTTAATATAAATCTTAATTTATATTTTAAAGATAAAAAATCTCAGTAAGTGAATTTTCTGATATATAACTTAAACATGCAAATATATTTGAAATGTTTGGAAAATTAAACATTATTTCAAAATGTTGCTTGCCCAATTCTATGATCAACTTGAATTAAAGCAAGCTAGATTGATGATTTTAAGTTTAATGTTAGCTTTATAATCACTTTACACGTTTTTATACTGTATTCTTGTCTTATATGATAATTATTTGTTATACATTTTAATAATTCTTCTGAACTTTTTTTGAATGTTTTCTTAAAATTCAAATGATGATAAATCTTAAATTGGAAGTCTATTTCAATTTTTTTACATTTATGGTATATTAGAAGTTGTTTGATTTATCATTATGAACATGATAGTAATCTAGACTCCAAATACACATGATTTAATCAAAAAATTTGCTATAATTATGTTGTTGCATAACCATATAGTTGATTTCAATCATTCATAACACGAAACTAACTTTGAATGATATGATACTCAATGAGTATCAAGTATATGTTCAATGATGTTATTAACTAACATAGTAACAAATAACACAATTGATCTGAACTTTGCAATGATTTATGTCAATTGAAAAAGCACCTAGTTAATAGAAAAATATTCATAAATATTATCAAAATTTTAAATATTTCTTTCGTGAATAAAAATCTATATTTCTATTCTTATTATAATTTTATTTTTTATTTCAGATTTGTATGCAAAATTTTTTATAAATAAAATTTTTAATTTTTTATATATAATTTTTTTCTGATGATTTTATTGAAAGATTAGTATAATAAATTCTTGAACATATTAATAAACTGAAGCATAGACTTCATATAAATAAAGATTTTATAGTTATTCATATAAAAATATATCTGGGAAAAAATTAAAAATCCATTAAAAAAATCTATTCAGCTGGATTATTTTTCATAATTTCATATAGATTTCTTATGATTAATGCGTGATGTGCTAAATAAGTTATTACAATGAAATTATTTTTTGTAGGTATCATTAGTCAAAAAACTAATTTTGTATAGACAAGACATAACCATAACAAAATTGCTTCAATCTCTGGATTTAGGATAAGTTGATATGTGCGATACATGCAATCAGTACAATAATTATTAAGTTAGCCAAAAATCTGCAAAATATTATTCAGATCCATGTCTACCAACTTGATAGTTACTATCATAATTTATAAGTTGTAGAATTAAATATTTGATGCGAATCAAGTAACGTTTTGTTCATTGTTTTATTAATAAGCTTTGATAGACCTTGTTTGAACAGTAATGATTTTCACGCGTAGGAAAAAATAACAGCTATGATATAAATTTTTTTTCACTTCTATGGGAGTGAACTACAAAGTTGTAGATATTAGTTATAAGACTAATCTACCCTATGTGTATGAAGAGAAGTA